GACAATCTGTGTTGCATTTCCCAGTAAGGCTCTATATCAGTGGTGAGCAATGCATGCCCCTGGGGCCACATGCAGCCTCCAAAGCCATTTTTAAGGCTCAGAGCCTGCCAGAGGTTTTAAAAAAAGCCCCCCAATGCTTCCAAATACACTTTAGGGACTGTGAGGCAATTTTATCATGTTTGGTTCCTTTGAGAGCCAATTTAGGCTCAGGAGAGATCTTCTTCTGAAACTGGAAGGGATTTCTGATCACTGTCTCCTGGGCCTAAAATGGTCCGCGGGGGGGTGGGGGCACTAAAATAATGTCAAAATGCCTCTATACTCCTGGAATGTGTTAATATTTATTTTATTATTTAGTTACTTTATTTATATCCCACTTCTCTCCCATATGGGACGCAGATGGTTCATACCATTTGATAAAACAACATAGCTAATACACAGACACATACACACACACACACATGGTAATCCTTCCCTTCTGTACTGCATCTGATGCCTGCTGGGGATGTGTTGGCTGATGGGAGCTGTAGTCCAGCAACATCTTAGAGGTTCCACTTTGGGGACAAGTGATTTCTTTTTGTTGATTGCTGAAAAGCCAAAAATGAACATACTGTTCATCTTAACTTTGTTCTTAACTGGGTGCAATACTTTTTTAGTAGGGAGGTGGGATAAAAATATAGTAAATAAATAGTAACAAATTATTTAAAATGTACTTTTTAAATACATACAGAGTTACGTCATTAGATCCTGCTTAACCATTTTATTTTACAGCATGACTAAAATACAGCTTGGTGTTCTTTTGCAACAGCTCAAATATTCAGATCAACATTTATCTCTAAATAAGTAACTAAAAAGATAAGATTTAGATAATAAATTACTTTGTTTCAAACCTTCAGGTGTACACCTTCATGGTTTCTGTTTCCATTCTGTTAAAGTGATTGTCCTGGGCCTCAAAGCTTGAGGTGGGCCTCAATACCAGTTTTAGGCTGTACTCTGTCTTGTGATTTCAGAAAAGGCTCCCAAAGAGCTCTAGGGGCTATACAGATGGCCCCTAAGGGGTGGCATCCTGCCGCCCCTTTCCTGCTGGATCGGGGCCGTGGCAACCACACGCTGCGACACCAATCTGGCCTTTCCGCAGCGCAAAAAGAAGCCACAAAAAGCAGCTCCTTTTTACACCGCAGAAACGGTGTCCTGTCTGCAGTGATAGTGGCTTTTCGCCGCTTCATCTGTGCAGCACGTGTAAACACTGCCTTTTTGCCACCCACCATGCATTTGCTTGGGTGACGTGAGGACAACATGGGGGCAGAGTCGGGGCAGCCGGTGTGCGGTCGCCACGCCCCAACTCCGTCCCCAGGCCAGCCCTTTTGTCCGGTCTGTGCAGGCCCCACTTAACCTTTCTGCTTTTAATTCCGCATGTGGCATGTTGTTCTTGATGACACTTTTATTTGTTAATTATTTAGTCTGTTGCAGTTATACCCAGACCCGTTTCCTTCAAGGAGCTCAAGGAAGTGAGTGTTGTATATCTTTTTATTCTTGCAACAACCTTGTTAAATAGGTAGAATTGTGGGAAGACACAGTGTGAAAAGCCACATGTTGGACCTCTTTGCTGAATGATTTGAAATGGGATCACACCTTTGTTATTGTTAACTGCCCTCAAGTCTACTCCCACTCATGACGACTCTGCACACTAGTCCTAGTCTAATGCTGTAATCCACACTTTCCCTCCATTGTTGGACTACATCTCCTATTATCCCAGCCATTGCTGTGCTGAGATTGAGATAATGGGAGCAGTAGTCTGGACAGCACCATCTTGGGGAGTTTCTACACTTACTGGTTGTCAGGTGTGTCTGCTGCTTTCCTCGCTGCATGCACTAACCAACCTGCATCCAGCCTTCTCTTTCTTCAAGCTCTGGTCTTTCTTGGAGGCTTATCTCAGCAGAAGCAATAGATAGGAAACTGAAAAGGGCGGGATGGGTAAAATCTGCACAGTCAGCGCTGTTTTTCTTAGTTACAGACCACATTATGCTTTGCTCCCCAATTATAATGGAGTATTACCAAGATTTTTAGGGCATATGTTGTAACAGACTGTTACATGGTAGGACAATGTTGAACAAGATCATTTGCAACACTTTTGTTTTTTTTTAATATATTATAGTGCTTCCTCCCCAGGACTTTTAGTACTTTATGTATGGTTCTCCTTTCTCACTCCCAATTATCTTCACAACAACCCTGTGATGCAGCCCACTTCATGTGGCAAGGGAAAGGGCAGAAAACAGTGTTTGCTTATTAATGAAGTACAGTAACCAGAACAGGGACAGTATCTTGTGCCAAAAAATTAAAAATAATGTACTCAAATGGAACTTTAGAATGTTAGTATTGGTATAGTATACTTCAGACACTAGAGGTATGCATAGTTCTTTTACATTTTACATTGTTTTTCATATATCAGTAACTTGTTTCAGATATTTTTGTAGTCATTTGCTTAGACACTCTTCCATACTCCTTTTAAGAACTTCAGAGCTACATTGAGTGCATACAATTATAATATGTGGTGTGGTTTTGTCTAAATATAAATATGCCATCATACCTGTCAACATGTTACAGATGAACACTAGGACACGTGTGGCCAAGCAACATTAGTATGTGGTCAATATGGCAAAGGTTGTTAATGAGGAAGAACACACAAACTAGGATAGGCTGCAGCAGTTTGTTTTTGCTTGACTTACTGGGAAGGGCAAGATTTCTCCCCTCTTATCATCTTCCTGCAGCTCAGTTAAGTTGAGTGCAAACTACTTTTGCCATTTGAACTTGGTTTGCAGCAATTGAATTATGCTGAGGACAAAAGTGGGAGGAAAAGAAAGAAACTAAGGGTCATTGCAGACCAGCCCAAAGGGCCAGCATGGGGGTAGAATTGAGGCGGAGCAGGCGGATGCCAGCCTCCCCCACCCCGACACCATCCTGACACCGCGCGGCCGTACACACAGCGCTGAAAGAGTGCTAAAGAGCTGTGGTGCTGGCTCTAAGGGCAGCCTTTTGCCACCCCTAAAAGGAGTGGCATTTTGCCTCTCTTTTGGGGGCAGCAAAAGGGAGGATCAGGGCTGTGGCGTGGGGTTGCCACGGCCCCGATCCACCCTTTCCCGGGGCGGCTCTGTGCTGCCCCAAACGACTGGTCTGCATCGGCCCTAAGACACTTTAAAAGCAGCTGAAAGAGTGGCATGACAGGATTAATTGAGACTATTCCTGTCAAATTGGACCAGTTGTAGGGTATGTGCCATACATATTTTTAAAAATAAAATTAGATATTTTGCATATTTGTCTAAAGCTAGTAACAATAAACTAGCTAATTATAACTAGTAAAGCAACATTGTTTATCTGTCTGTCTGTCTAACTCTAATTATATAGTTTAACTCTTTTCATGTATTGCTGTTGATTGTAAAGTTCTACAGTTTTCTGAATGGCGCACTTCATGGTCTACCATGATAATTGGTTTTACATGATATTTATAGAAAGGGTTAGATAGATGCTTATTTTGTTATCATATATGTTCTTAATATACATTTCCTTCAAAGTGTTATTTTTCTTGGCCTCCTGTATTGGATGAGAAGAATGTTTAAGTATTGTACTGTGCTCTGATGAGCAGCTGTCAGCGGAATAGTATTTGTTATTTTACTGTTTTGAAGTTTTGAAGTCACGTTAAAGAAAGACTTTCTTGCACTTTTTCTGGGTTTACATTTCCAGTTCAAATTAAAAAGAGCTTGCGGATGTTCTGTTTTTTTCAGTGATACACCTGGTTCATTTTCTTTCCTCCTTTCTTTTAATTGTCACGAACCATTGAATGGAGTGTCCTTGTTAAAATTTCACCAAGGGTCACATATCTCCTTGGTGGGTTAGACAAATTTCATGACTTTGCAAAGGTTTTTTCAGGGAAATATTAAAACATAAAACATCTGTGAAAAGAATGTTCTTTATGTGAGATAATTCTCGCAAGTGTCGTGGGTTAAACCTTGGCCTTGGAATTTCCTCCCCTGCTGATAGTGGTTACATATGGTAAACACAAAATAGTCTGGCTGTAAAGTCAGCAGGGGTCAGCCCTTGTATGAAAAGTGGGAGGGAGTGACAGTATCCGTTTCCAAGGCTGCATTTGAGAACACAGAAAAATAATCACATATACTTTGACCCACTAGAAATAAAATCAGAAGCACAGCGTTATGGAGCATTGTGCATGTAGGCGTATCAGATTTTTCTGTTTGATAAATATGTTTTCATTTTTCCAGGCTATTTTTCCCCTCTGTCAGAGGAGATGGATAACTGTATAAGATCAATACTTAACAATGTGGATTCCCTGCCCCCTTTCTGATGCTTCAAGTTGATATACATGACATAAATCTTGAAATGGTGCTTAATGAATAATAAATACTTGCATGTGATCAAAACTTTGGAAGAAGAATTTTGCCTAATTCAGGTATACTGATATTCAGGATTAATTAAGGCTTTCCGCCCCTGCCCTCCGACCATGTTTCTTTAATAATAATAATAAATTTATTTATATTTCCCGCCTCTCCCTACGGATCAAGGCAGGAGTACAAAGATAAAATGTACAAAATGTACAGTAGTACAGTCAATAAAAAAGATAACATAGCAATAAAACCACAACAGTAATAATAATAATAAGAATAAATTTTGATTTATAGCCCGCCCCTCTGCTCGGCAATCGGGGCGGGTTACAGCATTTAAAACAATCAGGATTAAAACAATAAATAATAAATAATAAATAATAAATAATAATAGTAATAAAAAGAACAATAATAAAAACAATAAAAACAACAATAAAAACATAAAAATAACAACAATAATTAATACAATAATAAAATTACAATGCAGGTCTATGCCGTGAGTGGTATAATCTTTTCACCAAGAGGTCCTTGTAAGATGGTATTTAGAATTGCTTCTAACCATGGTTTCATGTTGAATGTGAACCCTAAACTGTAATTAATTTTAACCATGGCTACTGTGGTGTAGTAGTTTGAGTATTGGACTGTGACTCTGGAGACCAGGGTTCAAATCCCTGCTTGGCCATGGAAACCCACTGGGTGACCTTGGGCAGGTCACACTCTCTCAACCTCAGAGGATGGCAATAGCAAACTTCTTTTGAATAAACTTGCCAAAAAAAAAATCACCATTATAGGTTGCCTTAGGGTTGCCGTAACTCAGAAATGACTCAAAGACACGACTCAACAACAACAACCAAGTTATAAAAAGCCCGCATCATAAATCGTAATTTGATATTGGCTTGTTAGTAGGTAAGATTAACCACTATTCATCCCAGATGTTTAACAGCCTAAAATGTAAGCATCCTCCTCACAGTTCAGAGAGGTAAAAGAGGAGGGGGGATGCCCAAACCTCAGGCTTATTCACACCATGCTAAACTATTGGATGTTTCATTACATCCAAGTGAAGCTGTAATGTATCGAATTGAATATATGGAACATCTCAGAAGCCCAAAGTATGGAGAACTCTATATCCAGAGAGTTTCAAAATGGAAGATTAGAGGCTTGTTCATATGAGAGGCTGAAAGGGGCCTCCATTTGTTTCCTCTTTTGGTGCATTTGTAAAGGTAAAGGTGAAGGTTTCCCCTTTGACAAGGTTGTCAAGTCACATAGTACAGCATGTATACTGTACAAATAATGCAGTTTGACATCAATTTAAGTGCTGTAGCTCCATCTTGAGGTGTCCTGGGATTTGTAGTTTTATTTACAGTCTTTTGCCTTCTCTGCAAAAGAGGACTGGTGCCTCATGAAACTACAAAATCCAGGATTCTGTAGGATGGAGCCATAGCAATTAAAGTGGTCTTATGCTGCATTATTTCTACAGTGTAGATCAGGGGTAGGCAACCTTTTTGAG